TAATGTTTTTGTTAACCAAATTTTTGTGAACTTTACAAAACGTTTTTTGCCATATTCAACTCTCATTTTTCGGATCATTGTTGTGATTGTTTTCTTTATTTGTTTATAGGAAGAGTTGATGAGAAAACAGTTGACTAATTTTTAAAAGCAAATTTTATTTTATAAATAAAATTTAAAATTTTATTTATAAAAACAAAAAAAAAAGCAAAAAAATATTTCTTTTTCTTTTCTAGTTTAAAAAAATCATGAGTCTCAAAATGTTTACTTATGTGGCTGTGTGTCTGTTAAATGAGTTACTTATGTCGCTGTGTGTCTGTTAAATGTGTTACTTGTGTGGCTGTGTGTCAAAATGTTTACATATGTGGCTGTGTGGCTGTTAAATGTGTTACTTATGTGGCTGTGTGTCAAAATGTGTTACTTATGTTACTTAGATTTGTCAAATGCTTAGAAAATAAGATGCAAATAAACATAGCAACTTTGCTTATTTTGCTACATGTAAAGGGAAAACCAGTAAAAAAAAAAATGCTTTTTGTTGCAGTGCATGGAATCAAAGTTTAAAAACAAAAAAAAAAAGATTTTTAAATTTCTACAAAATTTTGTGAAGTAATAATGACAGGTGAGATAAAAATCAAAACTACAAAAAAACTAAGCACCCTTTTAGCATTGAAATTAAATTTGAACTATGTAACCTTTCTGCTCATTAAAACAGCCAATGATATTAATATATATTAAAACAGCTAATGATATTAATATATATTAAAACAGCCAATTATATTAATTTGATGATACTAATGAACTTCTCAAAAATGTTTACTTGATAAAGTTTTTCATAGAAATCTTAAAGGAAAAGATATAAATGGAAAAGTTTGAACATAAATGGAAAAGATGTTTGGATGGAAAATGAGTTTGGATAGAAATGAGATATTTAAAAGTTATTTGCGTAACTTTTTTTTTTCTAATTTTTTAACTATTGAAAATGAAGTCTGATTTATTAAATTTTGAAAGTCTTTCATATTAAACTTTTTATATTTACAAAAATATTATGAATTTAGTACTATTACTATATAATTTTTTTTTTTTTTTAATTACTGTATCAAAAGTTACCAATTTAATTGATTTAATAATAATAAAGTAATCAATGTACTTAATCAAAAATACTTAAAAATGGTCATGTGTGAGGGAAAGATTAATATTGTTTGTACAGCTTGTAAGCACAAAAAAGAAGTTCACGAAAGATGTAGTGATATGTAAACTGCTTGTTGGTCGGTTTTAAGAGTAGAAAATAAACTTCATATGAATACAGAGAAGTAAAAAAAATAAATAATAAATCGATGGAAAAATAGTGTTGGTAAATTTAGTTATTTTAAAAGTGCAACTGGACCAGTTGGCAGATTAGGAGAGGCATCAAGAGCAAAAGATAAGTGTGTCTGGGTCAAGTTCAAAGAATTATCTTCATTTCTAACAGGAAAAAAAACATCATTAAAAAAAAAATTATTCACTGCAATGTAATTTGATATGTTTTTGAACCAGAGATGCAACTGAGTTGTAACGAAGGTGTAACAAAAGCTTCAAATTTACTTTATTGGAATTGAATTATTATATAGCAAATATATAGAAAATATATAAATATAAAAAAAGATGACTCCTGCTTCTATAGGTTGGATTGATTTTATTTTATTTTTTCAAGCTCTAATAATTTAAATTGGAAGATAAACCACACTAATTAATAATAGTTTAAAATGGAAGGTAAACCACAGCACATTCGATCGATATTGAGAGATTTAGTTTAAGACAACTTTGATCTGAATTGTTTATAAATTGGATTAAAAGTTTTAAACCTCTGGCTCTGATAAACCTCCATTACATTTGCCATACACCTCTGTTACATCTCTATTCTGAACTACCATGCCCATCACAATCTTAAACCAATCTTTAATGGCATTTCAAAGCTTAAAGCAAGCAAAATAGAAAGTATTACACTATTATTATTATATTTTTCCAACTTAACTTCAATATATAAATAAATTAAAAACTGCAAATATACCACTGATTTAAATATTATTTGTAAATATTTTTATGTAACATTCAATACATTCAATACATTTTTTGAAGATAAATTAAGAAACTAATACATTATAATTTCTGATTTAGATTAAATTAAATCAAGCATGTGAAAATATCATAAATTTATTTTAAGATATAAAACCAAATAGGTATTATTATCAGAAAGCAGTATACCTCATTAAAAAAATCTTTTTTAATCAAACAAAACAACAATAGCCTTAAATAAACTCTAACGTTGTCATAGATACCTCATTCGAATTATGACAACCAATCAAAAGTGTAGGAAAATGAGCAGCCCGCGAAACCCAAAATCATAACAATAATTGAATAATATATGATAGCGAAAAAGAACGTTGCACAAAAACCTTAAAAATGTAAGCGGCATATATGTAAACATTTAATAAAGGATATAAAAATATTCTCTGAATAATAATAAAGATGAAAAATGTGCGAGTGAAAATTAAAACAAAGCTGAGCAACAAACAGTAATAAATATGAAAATCAGGAGATAAATAATATATCAACAAACACTGCAACAAGACTAACTAAATATTGCAATAAAACCAGATAATTTTAAGCCAAATGAGTGGTTAAAAAACTAGCTGTGGATAATATAACAAGAATATAAGTTGTAATGTAAAAACGATGTACAAAGCGGCAAAAAGATTATTAAAAAGTGAAGTTTTTTCTACAGTCCAAACTAAAAAAAATTTGGAGACCATATCTAAATCAAAATTTCCGAAAAGTAATATTTCCTCTACGCTCCAAATTAAAAGTAATTTTGAGACCATATCTAAATCGAAATTTCTGAAAAGTAAAGTTTTCTCTACGGTCCAAATTAAATGTAATTTTGAGACCATAACAAAATAACAAGGAAAAACATCCACCATAAAAACATGTCGAAAGCCGCTAGTTTATTAGAATCGATCTTATATTATATATATATATATATATATATATATATATATATATATATATATATATATATATATATATATATATATATATATATATATATACATATGAATCCTTAAATGAAAAACTCAATCACACATGATAAACAAATATAGATAACA